AGTTTTATAAATTTACTTTTGTTTTTTGTACAATCTTTAATTTAACTCAACCCCTTGCAGTTTAAAATAGCAATAAATTCTCTCAGTAAATAATTAGTCTTATATATATCATAGTAACAGCACAGAATAAATAATTTTGTTGCACTCCTTTGATGTCGACTGCTTGCAGACGTTTAATAGCCTACATAGTTATTATTAATCAGATAAATCACGCATGCAAGCTAAATAAAATATTAGCGCTGCGCACGAGCGTCCATATTACTTTGCATCTTTTCCCCTTCCTACGCCATGGCGGACTTCGTGGATATTAAGGACTATCAAAAAAGAGTTAAAAAATACATTGCGAAATGTTAATTAAGTTACTTAGGTGAAGTACCTATTCTAACTATGATCGACTGACCATATTTTCGCACCTATGTGATTTCTACGATGCTCAACGCATGCAACTAGCAAGGCCACAACAAATAAACCTCAGATACGATTGCTAACAGAAATGTGATCGTATTCTACTCAGTTAATAATCTTGTTAGAAAACAAAGTTTTAATTTCAGTGTTTTGTGTTATTATAACTTAAAATATTTTAATTACAAAAGACATAATATATAGGTATGTAAGTATGTAGATACTTGGATAGTGAAGTAAATTTCAACTAAGTTTTGTAATAAAGTACGTATTACTTGTGTAGATAAATTATTACTTAATTCTTTTTTTGCTATAAGTACCTACCTAACAAAATAATGAAATAAATTCAACTTTCATAACTCCTACCTAAAATCCTTCGGTAATTTTAAGGAATGATATATCTGAACCTTTTTTTGGGCATTTAGCATCCATCCACGTAAAAATTGTAGTATGAACGACATTTTTCCGCTACAATTTATCAAATAGGTAAAATAATATATATAACTGCGTATGTTACCCTGGGCACAGAATATATAATAGTACTACGTACAGAAGTTTCACTCTTTTGATGTTGATTTGACAGCTTGCCGATGTTTAACCTTTTTTCATTCTCACATCACGGCTATTTTTCCGAGGTTACTTAGGGCTGTCAATAAAGAGTAAAAATACAATATGTATAACATTAATAATTTATTTACTTCACAATTGTTTTACTTTAATATAATGTTTTATAAATTTTTTCCGTCTCTAAAATACCGGTTATTAAATTTAAGAGTTGAAAAAACTTTAAATCTTATATATAATTTTAGTAAATAATAAAAAGGAAAAAATGGACATGGAGTATCGGAAAAATATGAAAAGATATTCATTCAGTATACTAACTAGAAATAATAAAAATAGTACCTATTATTAATTTTATTTATAAATATTGTTGTATTAATATTTTTATTGTTTTATATTTCTTTATTTTACGTAAGATTTTTAATATATGTTCCCCCCCCGCTCCATTTGTCAGCAAAGGTAAGAAAAAATTTAAAGCCCCGAGCTTGCTTACATAATACTAAAACGCTTCCTTTCTTTTAAACTTTGTCGTCAAATTGAAAAGGATTACGTAAATTTACTATTTGCTTGCAATTTATAAGTCCTCGGGCTTATACGACAACAATTTAATACTTGTCTACCTCATCCATCCACACTTACCACATGGTACAAAAGTGTAGATGCAAACCCAGGGTTTATAACTAAATCATTAGAATGCATTAAATTAGTGACAAAGAACAAAAAAACCGAACTGTATTGTGCAGTTAGCATGGATGAGATGGCTATAAGGAGGCACGTCCAATGGGATGGAACAAAATGTGTAAGTCTGGTGAACTATGTGGTAGCTTTGAATCGAAGTTCTAAAACTTTGTTGAACTAAGTTTGTATAAAAATGGTTATTATAATATTAAGGAATTTATGGAAGACAATAACCCCCAAGAAGGGTGATTCCTTCCTCAGAGACCAGGGTCAATTCACTAGACTCTCCAAAACCTGTTACGACACAGGCATCAAATACGACCATGCTAAACCTAACATTCTAGTCAGCGCCAACGTGACCCCGTCGGCGGGAATGAAAGAAGGGCTACCGGCCGGCGTACGACATTCGCGACAGTGCTTAAGAGAAGAACAACAAGCAAGAAGACCTCTAAGGCTCCCTATTAGGTCCCATTAGGCATTAGATTAGTGATAGTTTGTAAGACTGCCGCATTGTGTAAATAGTTTTATAAATTTACTTTTGTTTTTTGTACAATCTTTAATTTATTAATCTTTAATTGATGTCGACTGCTTGCAGACGTTTAATAGCCTACATAGTTATTATTAATCAGATAAATCACGCATGCAACCTAAATAAAATATTAGCGCTGCGCACGAGCATCCATATTACTTTGCATCTTTTCCCCTTCCTACGCCATGGCGGACTTCGTGGATATTAAGGACTATCAAAAAAGAGTTAAAAAATACATTGCGAAATGTTAATTAAGTTACTTAGGTGAAGTACCTATTCTAACTATGATCGACTGACCATATTTTCGCACCTATGTGATTTCTACGATGCTCAACGCATGCAACTAGCAAGGCCACAACAAATAAACCTCAGATACGATTGCTAACAGAAATGTGATCGTATTCTACTCAGTTAATAATCTTGTTAGAAAACAAAGTTTTAATTTCAGTGTTTTGTGTTATTATAACTTAAAATATTTTAATTACAAAAGACATAATATATAGGTATGTAAGTATGTAGATACTTGGATAGTGAAGTAAATTTCAACTACGTTAAGTAATAAAGTACATAGGTATTACTTGTGTAGATAAATTATTACCACAGTATAATAAAAACATACAGTAGAACGACGCCTTTGATCTCGTGGTAAATGCCGATAACGTCTAGACAGCGTAGGGAAGTTAGGGTTGTCACAAATTAACAACTTTTACTAATTTCATTATTTATTTTAGATCTACATCGTGATCAACAATATGATTACTAATATAAAGAATAAGTAATAATTTGTTCTTACATTTTTCCTGAAAGTACTCAAAACGCTAATTGCACGCCTCACAACATGAGGAAGTGCTCTACTCTCGATATGTGGCCATACCTCAGTTTCTGACTCCTCCTCAAAATTGACATCCCTAACATTAAAAAAATGATGTCCACCATCTTGATTTAAAAATAAATTCCATTTTCGTTATCAGCACCCCAAGAAACCTCGAAATTGATACCCATATCATATTATTAAAAAAATGTTAGCCATCTTGGATATGAAAATGGATGCCATTTTCGTAATAAGCACCCCAAGAAACACCGAAATTGATACCCATATCGTATCATCAAAAAATGTCCGCCATCTTGGATATGAAAATGGATGCCAGTTTCGTAATAAGCACCCCAAGAAACCCCGAAATTGATACCCATATCATATTATTAAAAAAAATGTCCGCCATCTTGGATATGAAAATGGATGCCAGTTTCGTAATAAGCCTACAAGAACCTCGAAATTGATACTCATATCATATTATTAAAAAATGTCCGCCATCTTGGATATAAAAATGGATGATAACATTTAAAAATAATAAAAGCAAGCGCGCGCTAACCCTGGAAGTCGTGTCCCGAGCTACTAATACGATTGGCATAAGCAGATCGGGCTCGTCCTTCCCGCGTCTCACCCCACACACCCCGCACGATTGCCCCGTCTAGACGTCTTAGTCGGACGACTGTATGGATTTATAGACTGTGTTATTACTTAATTCTTTTTTACTATCAGTACCTATCCAACAAAAAAAAATAAATTCACCTTTCATAACTTACTTCTAAAATCCCTCGGTAATTTTAAAGAATGATATATCTGAAACCCTTTTTTTTTGCATTTGGCATCCATCCACGCAACAATTATAGTAGGAGCGACGTTTTTCAAAATTATCAAATAGGTAAAATAATATAAATAACACTAAACAAAGACTATTTCAACAAGTATTTACAAAAAAAAATAATTACGTAAACACCGTTAAAAAAAAGTTTATCGACCAAATTGGCGATATTTTGAAAATGGGGCATGTTAGAAGTACCCTTAACCGACGAGCATGTATGCGTAGATATATGGATGTAAAGGAGGCGAAAGAGGTATGTAAGGATCGTGCCAAATGGAAGTCCGTAGTCTCTGTCTACCCCTCTGGGTGACAGGCGTGAGTGTTTATGTTACGTTAAAAAACTCAAAACAAACATTCAATCGCCTACTACGCGCTAGCCCCGACTGCGTATGTTACCCTGGGTGCCTAGCGATTGTAGGTAATTATTTCACGCTGGTAGCAAGAGTGACAGAGGGCTGGTAACAGTTAGTTCAGTATCTTCTTTCTTCAATATTAAAACACAACCTACATAAATACAGCCCACTAAGCGCTCATTCAATACACAATAGTTTATTTAAGTTTATTAGTCAGACAGATATCACAATTTTTTAGTTTCTTCTTTCTTCACCACAGTAAATTATAATAAATAATTAGTCAAATACAGTCCACTTAGCTCTCCATCAACTACAATACATATCAATGACAATCGTTAATAGCAGTGTTCCATTTCAGGCTTACTTCACGTACTAATTTCTAATTTTATAGCTAGTTGTGGGGTAAATTTTTCCTCACACTTGTAACCCTAAATATAGTGACGTATTTTCTTTTGTCCCTTTCTGCGACACGCTATGGCGGAGTCTATAGGATTCTCTGTCTACGTTCTATGCATTTTATTTATCTATGGTTCTAATTCTATGTTGTGGACACAAACCGTAGACAGAGAAAAACTAGTAAGAGCACAGTATACACTCTTATCTATGGTAATCCTAATCTATGAATAAAAGCAAATACGTAGACACTAGACAGAGAAACCTACCTATCTCTGTCTACGAGCAAAATAGCAAATAAGAGGTTGTGGATGAATCTACAAATAAAGTCTTTCTTTTAAAGTGATTTATTTTATTGTTTAAAGAAATTAAATAGCATCGGAAATGTAATTAGTTTATTACGAATAAATTAACCAAAACTGTACCGTAGCTTCGAACAAAATGGTACCAGTTGCTATCGAAGGTTGTAACCAGGGCGCCGAAGGTGGAGGTGCCCGTGGCGGTTCTATTTCATTAGCTTTGTTGATAGACTTCATTGTACAAAGAACTTACGATGAACTTACAGTTCTGGCTGAATTGTAAGTATAGTTACTCTAATAATTTCAATTGTGAGGTAATATTTAAAAAAGATAAATTAATCCATAACTTCTTATTTTAGATTGCCTCGGAAAACTGACATGGAAAGGAAAATTGAAATTTATAAATTTAGTGCAAGGACAAGACAGCTTTTTGTACGTCTGCTGGCCCTCGTAAAATGGGCAAGTAGTGCTACCAAAGTAGACCGATCTGCACATATAATGGCGTTTTTGGATAAACAAGCTCTTCTCTTTGTAGAAACAGCTGATGTATTAGCACGTGTGGCACGTGAAACATTAGTACATGCTAGGTAGGTAAAATAAAACATTTTCAATACATATAAAATATTAATATATGTACATTTACTTGTTAACCATGTAGTAGCGGTGTAAGAATATACACTACACTATTTCGTCTTGTGAAACCAAATCAGTTAATGGGCAATGACTGATGTTTGATTGATTGAGCTGGAGTTGTGTCCGCACAACTATATCTAAGCACATATTTTGTGTGTGGGCAGAAATTAGTATTTGGGCCGTCTGAGCTTCTTGAGGAATCTTAATTATAATTCTTGAGTAATTTTATTTATTTTTTTATCTTATTAATTAACATACTAATATTAATTTTAACCACTCCTGGTAAGCTTGAAACGCTTGTGTTAGGAATAGTTCACGACAGTAGTCAATGGCGGATTCCAACCCACGACCTTTTGAGTTTGCGATCCATGCCCTGCCATTAGACTACTGTCCCTGGTTCAAATTTAGAATCATTTGGCAGGAATTTGGGGGAGCAAGGTGTTTTATTTGGTAGAGGTTTCGACCCCGATTATAGTAATACCACTCACATTAAAAGGTAATGCATCATTGTTGAGAAAAATAAAAAGAATATTCCATCGAACTAACCTTCCCCACTCCCCACCCCCCACTTCCACCTCCTGCCGGATGTGCTTAGGGTTTTTTTATAAATTTTTAAAAATCTCATATTGAGGTTATGTTTTCATAATGTTTTTGATTAACTTGAACCTAAACCTGATTTATGAGTGGAGAGAGTTGGGGGAGGGAAACACCATGTAGCACAGTTGAGGGAAACCCGTTCGACGGAGCCTACTTCTGAGTGGTTTATAAAAAATAACCATGTAGGAGATGGCGGGGTCTATTTGCTCGCTCTCTTGACCCCGCCATCCCCTTCTAACCTAACCTATCCGAGTTGGGATGCCCTGAGTCCAGAGCTCACTTTGCTCGATCTTCACACTCAATAAAACACCAAAATATTGTGGGGTACTGTATCCCATTCAAACGTCGAAATCTTACAAAGGTTTCAAAATAAAGCACTCCGCATGATAACCAATGCCAACTAGTATGTGCCCAACAAATTACTACATCATGATCTATGCCTGCCTACTGTGAAACAGGAAATCCTACACCATACTAAAATTTATAAAGAGCACATTGAACGTCATCCAAATATTCTGGCCTGGCACTTATGGCAAACCAGAACAAAGCACGATTCTTAAAGTGCAAGATACCCCAAGATTTAATACAAACACAAACCCAGTAAATGCAGTTACTGTTTAATAATGAGGATGTGACACAGATCACATACCGAGCACGCCAGCGATAGCACCAATAAACATACTGCTGAATGTTCTTCAAAGGTGACAGATTGTAAAGGTGACAGGTGTAGTAAATAAAGGATACAAAAAAAAAATAAAAAAGGATCCAGATGGGTAGCGAAGTCGTCGAAAAATAGGCGGATGCTGATAAAAACGTTACGGAGCACATTCAAGCTACAATAATACACTGAAGAGCACACATTCACGCAAGAAGAGCAACAAACGGCGAAATGAATAAAAATTTGTATGTCATGCAATTTGACACTTGACAGAGAGTAAAGACAGTAGAATAATGTGACACTAGTCTTACGTTCTTGTCGCACTTACACAAAATTCTGTATGCTATCTCAGCTTTCACAGTAATATTGCATATTTTTCCATGTTTTATGCATTTTAGGTATAATAGATTTTATTTATTTTTTCAATAAAGGTGCATTACTTTTTAATGTGAGTGGTATTCTTATAATTGGGGACCAAACCTCTACCAAATAAAACACCTTACTCCCTCAAATTCCTGCCAAACGATTCTATATCCAACCCATGTCACCTTTAATCTTGTTAATTTTTTTACATTACCATCTCTGGGAGCAACATTGGTGATCTGAGGTACTTAACTCTATAGCTGGCAATGGGTGAACAGTCAAATCAAACATGAAACTGATTCCTCATGCCCTTTGCACAGGGGACTGTCCTTAATGCCTAAAGCAAAGAAATGCTTATTAAATAAACTATGACCTGTTATAGCACCTTTGACCAGTCTTATTTGAGTTTTGGTTTAAGGTTGAGTAACCTGTTAGAAATTATGAGATGGGCAGCAGAATCTTCCCGAAAACAAGTTAAAGTAACAAAAAGCTGTAGTTGGCAACCTGCCTGCCAATTGCAACTACCATAGCAAAAAGGGGTCAGAGGGGGACCTCTGAGGGAATCCATGGGAGAGGTCTATTTCCATCTGTAGACTTGATAGGCAGTAATGTATGTAATTGTTTTATAATTTTTTAATTTAATTTGTAAATTATGTAAAAAATATACCTAAAAACTGCATACATACACTCACTCTAGAATAGAATAATTTTTAATTAATATAGATTACATGTTGTAATTCTTATTGAAAGTCATTTTTTATTTTACCACTGGTTCGAAAACATCTGTCCTAGGAAGAACCAGCAAGAAACCCTGTGGAACTTTAAAAAAACTTTTACAATGTCAATGGTCACAAAATATTTACAAAATTTATTCTAGAAACAGCTTGGAAATGACCACCTCATTCCTAGAGGTTATTATCACACCTTTTTATAAAGTTTGTGTTTAATTAAATATTTAAACTTGGTAATAGAGAGATCTTGTATATTTTCTGGGACTTTGTTGTAATAGCGTATATACATTGCCCCAAGAATGAATTACTGACTCTATGGAGTTGAGAAACTGGTATCACTAGTTTGTGTTTGTTCCTAGTGTTTACAGAGTGTATATCACTTTTTTTACTAAAACAACCTTTGTTTTTGTAAACATACATACATTTTCCCATCCTTGTTGCCCAAAGGTGTAGGCAGAAACAAAAAACTTCCATTTCGCAAGATCCTGATAATCCTCTCCCACTTCCTTTATATCCATACCTATGCTTACAGGCTCAGCAATTAAAGGTCTCGTTATTTTAACTAAAAACTAGATATTGAATTATTCCATAAAATATATATTATATCCAATAATTAACTTGTAAAGTTTTTCTTATTATAGGGTATCTATCATGAACAGCTTCTCTGCTAGTCCTAAGCAAAATGGAAAAACATGATATAACATTTCCATAATCATTAACTAATTAAGCATCTACTCTTTTTAGAATATGTAACCCATTATATAAGTAATTTATAGATGTTATTTGCTGTTATGTCTGTAGATTATATATTTATTGTGTGTGTTTGTTTGTAATTTAATAATAAAACCAAAATTATGGACTATATAACTCATCTAGACTCATCTTCTCATCACTTTTATCTTAAAACTAAAAATCAAAAGTGATGGAAAAATCAAACAGCATAACGTGGATTGAATAAAACTATATTTATGGATTTTATCGCTATTAATCAACTATTTTAACTTAGTTTTTAATTCCCGACGTTTCAATGTGTATTGTTCGCGTAAATTTAAGAAATCATTAGCATAATATGGATTTAAGATGTTGCCTTCACTGCTAGCCACATGAGGATATTTAAAGACATGCAGCCGGCTATGGAGAGGGTTTATGCTCTATCTCTATGAGAGTTTCGCTGTGAATAGAATCTTACATGATGATATCTGCAGTAGAACTAGAGAAACAAACTGCTGTTTGGACAGTTGAAGTGGCAATGGGCCTGTATTATAGCTCAAAGAACCAACAATCAAGTGGCAGTGGATGGATCTTCTATGATGAGACATGAGGTTTTTCTAGAATTATCTGTAGTTCTCTCTTAACAACATAAATTGCTACTTACTAACATAATATCTCTAGTGGGGACCGTGGGGACTTTGTGATAATTTTACTTTTAGGATTTTTACTATAATAATAAATACCTATTGTATATTTTATAATATGTAGATACTTAAAATAAATTTTTAACAGTGGTAAAGCCACGCGGCAGTTTTGCTGTTGCAAGTATTGGCCGGCTCAAACCGGGGTGGTACCACGACCTCACAAAATACCGGCGTGAAGTGGAAGCTCTGCCTCCGCGTTTTGTCTGGTGAGTGCAGGTGGCCGGAGGCCCAAATCCCCCCTCCCCCATCAACATGGTAGCGGAATAAAATGTCAAACTAGTTCTGGATCACATAACACACTGTGAGAATATATGAAACATGAAATAAACACCAACTACCAATATATTGTGCCTGTGTAAGCTAGGCTACAGCAGGAGCAATGGACTCACATTAAAATGTGCAAAGCACTAAAGGAGCTGCAACTTGAAAAAGCTAACAGAGATTTTTTTTTGATTTTTTAGTTTTTAGGGCAACCAACAAGACATACATGAACACAATGTAAATTAATTAGAAATTAACTAGAAATAACAGAAAAGTTTTTATCTAGGTGTCATATTAGTTAAAGGTTGCCACGGCATGCAATGTGGACTACAAATATGTTTCTTAAAATTATTCTAGAGATTTAAGTTATTATCTTAATATATATAAATTGCGTGTCACGTTGTTTGTCCGCGATGGACTCCTGGACTATTTAACCAATTTTAATCAAATTTGCACACCGTATGTGAGTGTGACACACAATTTTTTTTTTGCGAATTTATAGATTTTTGAATAGGACATGACAAAGGATCGTTGAAAAGGGCAGAACAACGTCCGCCTGGCAAGCTAGTTAATATATATTTTTCAAACTAAGCCTAAATGTTAGCTTACAAAATTTGAAAACCTCTTGTAACAATTCCATCAATGTGTTTATGAAAATGCAGTTTTTTGTCAAGAACCACGCCTAGGTCCCCCATAGACTCCACATCTGCCAAAGGATGACCATCAATATTATAAATTGATGTAGGAACATTTACACATCTTGAGAACCTTATGAATTTACATTTATCAAAGTTCAAAAATAGTCTGTTCTTAACGCACCACAAACACCAAAAGTACAGAAGAAGATCCTTGTCTTCCACGTTATAGACTTTTTTTACTGCATTTGCTATAATAATATTATCAAAAATTGAATTTGAATTGGGTAAATGCAATGAAGTACAGCATTTGTGTAGATGGATCTGTCCTTATGAATTTAAGATTTGCTGATGATTTTGGTTTTTCCTGAAACATCATCTGGGCTAAAAGAAATGACAAGTGTTATTTCAATATAGTAGGGAGTTATTATCAGAAAGTACACACAATACACAGTAGGTCTTATAATAAACACTGAAATTTTTTTCAAAAATACCAATCCCAAGGTAAGCAAATGGAAATATAATATGTGCAAGAGTATATTTATTTAGACCATATAATATTACCAACCAATCAGATGACAAAAGAGTACAGTATAGAGAGAGAGTACAGAATAGGGAATACATGGAAAATCCATTGGTCGCTAAATAAAGTATTTAAAATCGAAGATATGAGCATGACAAAAAAGAATAATATTGTATCGCACATTGTATCTTACCCATTCTGACCAATGAACATCAAACATAGGCACCATAAAAAGGGCATCTCAATAAAATACAAGATGTTTTGCAAAACCATAATTTAGGACACATAGGTTAACTTATTACAATATACTAAATGAGGGGCAAATTTAAACTCATGTAAGGAAAAAGGAAGACTACGTTAGAAATAGATCTGATCTGATCTGGATGAAGATCTGGTCTGACACAACAGGCTTAAAACATTCTAAAACCTTAATCCGGGCTTTTGATCGTAAATTCGCTTCAGAAGCCCTGGGATTTAGTAAAAATAAATTGCGCATTCTGACAAGAGCCCTAACTGGAGCTGGACACTGTTGTCTTAAAAAGCACATGTCCATCCTGGGACTAAGCAACTCAAGGATGTGTCTGTTATGTTCCATAATGGAAGAAACGCCTCTACACATCCTAACTGATTGCGGACCCTTAATGCGCAAACGTAACACTCATCTAGGAAACTATGTTCTCCACCCAGAAGAAGTGAAATTGCTCATGACTCAGCAACTCCTTCTATTCATTGAAGACATAGGGCTTAGCCGTGAACTATAGCCATAGCAGCGATCACAATAGATCTTCTAGGTCGCAGTGATACTGGTCTCTTCCCTAGACCTGCATAGCTGCTCGCACAAAATAATAAAAAAAGTCAGAAATATAAAAGTGAGATCTTATGTATCCTATTTTTACAGTTTTTCATTAGGACTGTATAGAGGCCCTAGTGGTTATATTCAACAAATTAATTTAATAATACATTATGTTATTTTAGGCTCCCCACATTTCACATGGCAGCTGCAGTGGAAGTTCTAACATTAGGAACATATAGTCGATTACCAGCTGTGATTCGCGAACGACTAGTGCCACCGCCATCTCTAACTCCCGCCGAGAGACGGTCGACATTGCGCGCCCTAGCTCATGTTGTGCGCCAACGGTTAACCACAGCTTCATTGCCAACTGATGTTAGAAATTTAAAGGTACTCAACAATTCAGTTTAGAATTAAACATCAGGTATATTCTGAAGGTGGCTCAGGACCTTGCTTTGAGGCATTCTTTTGAGGAGGCCTATGTTTAGCTGTGGACTTGTGATGAGTTATAATGGTGATGATGATGTTCTATGTATATTTATGTTAATTTTATAATTCTTTAACTTAGATTATAATAACTGTTATTATTCATATATTTATGTTTTATTTAGGGTTTTCTATTATGCTTTTGTTTAAGTATTAAAAATATATTCTCATATTATTTTCGACCAAATGCTAATTACAAAATATAATGTACCCTTTACACTGACTGTGCCCAGGGTTGACTGGGGGAGAATGCCTAGAAGCACTTGAACTCCCTTTTGTAATCCTTCTGTTAAGGTATAAATTAAACAAAAATAATATATGTAATTCATTCAGATTATATGATAGTAGTATGTATATATATATATATATATATATATATATAGTGTGTGTGTGTGTGTTGAATATAATGTTGAATATTAAAGTTATATTTTCAATTGTAGGTCGAAAATGGTAGAGCAACTTTCACGGTTGGTCAGGAGTTCAGTGTGTCACTGACCGTGATGGGTGATACTCCGAATTTGCCTTGGCGCTTACTGGATATTGCTATTTTAATTCAAGACTATGAGACAGGAGGTACAAAATTTTAATATAGCTTCTTAATCACACATTTCTCATCAAATATAGAGTTTAAATATAAACTCTATGAATTTCACTAAACATCATGTAAAATTTTTACACTATTAAAAGTCTTTGTGTTCATTTAACATGTCCATTAGAATCTGGAATATGCGACCGCCAAGGAACCGAAAGCATTATGTGGATCTAAACAAATTAGTGTATAATATGTACATAGTATGATCCTTATATTTAATTGTGTTTTAATTAAAATTTAAGAAAAGCTTTTAAATGATAAAATCTTTATTTTAATTAGTATAGCTGTTATGTCTGAAAGCTGAAAACCGTTATACACGGTGGTGCAAAACCAAATAAATTTAAAAAATTATTTGGACAAATTGAATACATCTAATTGAATAAAACTATTATTTACGGATTTTATCGCGTTTAATTACTTTAATTTATTTTTATTATTATCCCGACGTTTCGGGTGACTGAGATGTTTGACGTCCCAATGTCATAGTTAGTCCAGCTACCTTCAGTTTTTTAATATTAATTTTTGGTCCGATTTACGCAAAACGAGCTTATAGTATCATGAAGTCTTGCAGTGGTATGCTTGGGTTTGGGTTTAATTTTGTTGATTATAGGATCCCAAGCAGATGGTAGCACCCAACCATCTTCTCTATTGAAATTTGGATGTTTTTTAATTTCAATAGCCTCGCGTATCATCCTTGGTAGGAATCGGTGTTCTTTTGCGAGAATTTGTGGTTTATCAAATCTAATGTAATGGTGGGGACGATCTTGAACATGTTCGCAGACTGCAGACTTCCCGGAGCGTCGGTGCTTCACATCAGCTATATGTTCCTTCACGCGGGTTTTTATAGATCTCTTTGTTTGACCTATGTAAGAGAGACCACATTCACAATCTAGCTTGTACACACCTGCATCTTGTAGAGGAATATTACATTTGATGGAAGGTAAAAATTGACTAATCTTCTTCAGCGGCTTGTAGTATGTCTTAATGGACGCTCGCTTCAAGATGTAGCCAATCTTGTCCGTGACTCCTCCAACATATGGTAGTAGAGCGTACAAGCTAGATTGTGAATGTGGTCTCTCTTACATAGGTCAAACAAAGAGATCTATAAAAACCCGCGTGAAGGAACATATAGCTGATGTGAAGCACCGACGCTCCGGGAAGTCTGCAGTCTGCGAACATGTTCAAGATCGTCCCCACCATTACATTAGATTTGATAAACCACAAATTCTCGCAAAAGAACACCGATTCCTACCAAGGATGATACGCGAGGCTATTGAAATTAAAAAACATCCAAATTTCAATAGAGAAGATGGTTGGGTGCTACCATCTGCTTGGGATCCTATAATCAACAAAATTAAACCCAAACCCAAGCATACCACTGCAAGACTTCATGATACTATAAGCTCGTTTTGCGTAAATCGGACCAAAAAATTAATATTAAAAAACTGAAGGTAGCCGGACTAACTATGACATTGGGACGTCAAACATCTCAGTCCTCCCCGTGACCATGGGCGCTGTAAAGCACCCGAAACGTCGGGATAATAATAAAAATAAATTAAAGTAATTAAACGCGATAAAATCCGTAAATAATAGTTTTATTCAATGTGTAGTGTTCGCGTAAATTTAAGAAATCATTATGTGAATACATCTAAGTTGAACCAGCTGCAGTTGGCTGTAGTTGGATATAGTCGGCTTAACCTAGGTGTAACCGCACTTTGGCTTTAGTGATGACATGACATAATGAAGATGTATAAAACGGATTCTAATGTATTATCAAAACATAGTACTACTCTGTGAAGGATGCCACTATTTGGAAAAGTGTTGGTCAAACATGATGCATTAATTTCAGAGGGTAAACCATTGGTTCATACTTCACAATTAGCCTGGCTGCGTGGAGTAGCACAGGCACGCTTGGCTGCGGCTGGCCTGAGTGGTGCGCTTGCTGCATTGCGGTACTTCTGTCGATCTCTATCGCTAGAGCTGTTGTATACACAAACATTAAAGCTCTGTCGGGACCGTCTGTCGAAACATTTGCAAGTTGACAAATACATACCCGGCCAAAAGCTACAGGTGTCTTATTGGAGGTAAGTGTTTAGAATGCTGAAACGAAACAAATGTATTAATTCCCTAGCTGCCTGTTATTCCATACGTGCAAAATTGTATTACACAATGTTCACCCAAGTTTATCTCAATATATCAATGGAAACTATATCCAAATTCTTTGAGCTAATGTGAAGTTTAGCGTGCACACACACAGACAAACAGACAAAAAATCTGTTTACGAATTTATTATATTATCAAAATCATTATCATTACAGCCCTCCAAAAGCCTATAAGTTGCCCCGAGTCCTTAACTACCTACATAAAAAATTCCATGGAAATCTGTTTAGTAGTTTTTGCGTGAATCATATATACAAAGACAGACAGACAAAAATTCTAAAAACCACAAATTTGGGTTCAGTGCCCTTTATTTACTCGTACTTGATTTTTCCAGAAAATATTAGAATTACAGACACTACTACATATTTAGTATAGATTAAACGTAAGCTAAGAAATATAAATTTAAGGTACATCGTTAAAGTTTAATTATGATAATGATGATGAAGGAATATGAATTTGTTCTGCTAAACATAGACCTCCCTCAAGGAATGCAACAAGGCATGGTTCAGAGCTACCGGCATTCATTGACTTCCTATATTTCTTAATAGGTTGTCACTTCATCTAGTGCTTATCTAGCTATATGGCCACTGTAGTTTACTGATCCAATGAGTTATGTTGGTTACTCTGGTTCTTTTGCTGATATCCTCATTTGTAAGTCTATTATGCAGAGAATCTCTGAACATAACTCTTCATAGCTTACTGGGCGACCTTTTTTTACCTTAGGCTTCTTCGTACAGCAAAAGATTAATAAGAAATTATTATACATATGCCACACATGAATGTGCTAACACAGAGGAACATTATAGTGTGAGGATGTTCGGTATGGGAATGGGGTATGGCAATAGCATATGGGAGTAGACAAAACACAACCAAATACAGTTTCAATACTTGTCACTTGACGGCTCCGTGGCGCAGTGGGCTTAGCTAAGAGTTACAGCGCTAAGAGCCGCGGGTTCGAATCCCGCACGGAGCAAGTATTAGTATGGCCTACAAGTAATTGTTCCGGGTCTGGATGTTTGTCCTTGTGAAATTTATGTATGTAAACTGCCCCCACGATACAGGAGAAAATCCTAGTGTGGAGGTAACGTTTTAAAAAAAACTTGAACGTTGGGTCATCAGAAATGAACAATTGGCACGTGTCTAGTTAGCGTAATTTACATAAAAAAGCCGGTATGGCGTATTAACGACGTACGTGCGTCCCAGGGAGCTGGGGTGCGAGCTGGGATACCGCCTGATCGTGGGCGCGGAAGGCGAGTCGCTTTGCGTGTGGCACGTGCCAGCGCTGGCTGGCGGTGAGCGTGTCGCGGCCGCGCTCACACCGCACGCGCCCTCTATGGAGCGCCTGCTCGCGCACACTGTCCACGTGCGCTCGCGCCAACGCCTCAATGATCTCAAAGTGCTGCTCAACGACTTGGGCGTAAGTGTACAGCCTCAGATTGAGTATGCACTATATAAAATTATTATAGGTTTATTTAAGGAAAATATATATTGACCTCACTTGTCTTAGAAATTATATACATGGCTTATAGGGTGTCTGGAAATTAATGGATAATCTTGAAATGAAATGACTTCCAGCAGAACTAATAACCATTCAAAACAAAAAAGGAAACAATAAATATATTTATTAAAGATACGATTTTTTTAAAAAGGAAATACGAATATTTTTTCGGGAATTTTAAATAAGTGTATATCATGGCCTGCGACGGTAGATACTTAAATAACGAAATTTACAATATTGTGCATATTTTTACATAAAATTGTTTCTGACTATTAGGGCTTAGTAAAAAATAATAGAAAAAAAAACACAAATTATTACCAAATGCCCAAATAAATTTTACTAATATTTGAAATAACTATTTCAAATATTAGATTAATATCGAAAAATGCTGCTGTGTTTCGTGTGGTGAGTGTATAGATCCGGAGACCCTTTTTACTTGAAACCAGGCTTTTCATCTCAGTCCTAAGAGGTGAAAATGCATCTGCATTTTAATTCTTAATTGTGGATACACAGTTGTCTATGGGGCGCAGCATCCACTTACGATCGGGTGAACTGTCAGCTAGTTTGTCAACCTTATTCGTGTAATATGTACACATGTATCTTGTTCATGTTAGTTGAAAACGCTCTGAGTAGGCTGATTGCAAGCAAGAGGTAGAAAATGTATAAATCGAGTAGGGCAAGCGTCAAGCGCGTTTGTCGGGAGCCGTTGGCCACCTTAACTAGTTATTGTAAAGCACATAATATTTTTACGGTTGTAAAAGAAATGAAATAAATGATTTTATTCAATATAGATTAGATTGCATAATACTTATTGAAAGTATTTTTTTATTTACCACTGGTTCGGAAAAAAACCTCTGTCCTGGGAAGAACCAGTAAGAAACCCAGCGGGACTTTTAACCATGGTTACGCATTACGAACAATATTATGTTTCACGTAATATTGTTCCAGATTATCACACGAAAAAAACTCTAGTTTGGGTTATAATATGTAAAAAGTAATAAAGGTGGTTGGGCGCGTGGTGTGTAGGTGGAATGCAGCGTGAGCGGTTGGCCGTGCGTGCTGGCGTGCTCGGTGGTGTGGCCGTGCCTGCGCGCCGAGCAGCTGCTGGTGTCGGTGGGCGCGCACGGCGGGCGGCTCCGCGCGCGCGTGCCCGCCTACCCCGCCACGCCGCGCATGCCCGAGCTGGCCGCCGCGCTCGCCGCTGCCGATCTGCCGCGGGTCAGGGCGCTGCTCACGCACCTCAGGTATAATAATAATGCCCTCCAGACCGAATTTCGGTCATGGTGGCCAGCCTCAACGGAGACTAGCCATCGGCGCAGGACAGGATTATAGTGCCTAAGTGTATGCGCAAGCACAGGTGCACTCTCTATTCTCTCACTCTCATAATCCGATGGGACGGTAAACCGACACGACCGGAGAGAGATCAGGCGCAGGACCAACGGCTTTACGTGCTTTCCGAGGCACAGGGCGATACACTGCCAACTTTCTGACTCCGGGCAGCTACTGAGAATTTCTTGACAGAAAAAGTCAGTAACTGATTTTTTTGGCCTGACCCGGGATTCGAACCCAGGACCTCACGATCAGCAGTCGTACTACTACAACCACTAGACCAACGAGCAGGCAGGTATGTATGTATATACCTCAGGTATATACATACATACCTCCATCAAGTTAATCAAGTTGTATTTTATACAATGAGGGTGACAGACAAGCAAATACTACATGTGATGGTAAGTGCACTTTTGTTTAGAACATAGAAGGTCTTCATTTCACAACGAAGTTTTCCAATTTTTCTTATAGAATAAGGTAACAAGTCGTACACCCAGACCAACTGATGGTAAGTAAATGCTCTGGCTCGTAGACATCTACATCTATCCTCGAATAAGAATCAAAATATAGATGCACCCCTAAGAACTAAGGTAGAATGCCTCGATTCCAATAAAAAGGTGTAATGTTGGGAGGTCAGGGAATTAATAACACATCTACTGGTCTTGACTATAGATTTAATACTAAGTGCTTAGCCAGACTGCAAACGCGGACGTTGGGTGCGGCGCGGGTACGGGGGCGACGTGAGTGTCCGCAGTAGATTGCGGCTTTGTTCCGAGTGTTGCCGTGTTCAGTGTTTGTCAAACTATAATATTAAAGATATTAATAGTTACCTTTCAACCATCCGCTCAATAAAATAAAATTATGTGTCTTACCTAGTTTGAAGGGAATTGAGGGAGGGCGGGAGGTGCTCAGCTTCTCACACTATTTTGTTGAGAGATCCATGAGGATAACATGTCTTTTATTTCATTTTTAAACTCTCAGAAGTCTATGGGTGCCTCTTCCAAGCGTTTCCTCTTAGTACGCGTATTTGTAAAGCTTGCTGATGGCGAAGATACTATTATTAATGTGCCGGACGGGCGAAACTCTCCGGAGTAAATGTTGTCAAAGATACTTCGCGAGAAGCTCACGTCCTACATCTATAGGTTCCGGTGGGTACTTTCACTGCCGTCTTTGTGGGTGCCGCTGAAATATTGTGGACTGAGGTTGAAATCAAAATGCACGATTAATAAATACAAATAGCATGGTAGTGGCCAGCGGTTCGACTGATTAATTAGTCGCGAAATTTTATAATTATTGACCACGGTTGAACTACGGTTGTTCATTATTGGTTGGTCACTGTATATTTCAAAAGATTTCTTTAAATTGTATGGTAGTATCAAATATCTAATGGTAGTAGCTGGTTTTCTAACACTACTGACTAGCAGCTATTATCAACTAAACTAGCTGATTTTATCACTTGTGTAACTGTGGATATCAGTTACCACTTTCACTATATGCAACTGCGAAATATCAGTTACGACCTTCTTCGGCTAGCTAACACTTTCACTATATGTAACTGCGAATATCAGTTACGACCTTTTTCGGCTAGCTAACACTTTCACTATATGTAACTGCGAATATCAGTTACGACCTTTTTCGGCTAGCTAACACTTTCACTATATGTAACTGCGAATATCAGTTACGACCTTTTTAGGCTAGCTAACACTTTCACTATTCACTATATACTGCTACTAGTCACTTCAGCTACCACCGGATACCACTCACTTCACTTCACTTGTCACTGGTTGTTTTCACACTACTACTGGTACTGGGTACCGAGCCCCTAAGGTATACTTTACAGTGAGCCGCTTGCCATTTTCCGTTTTGCCTCTTTATTGCATAAACTTTTCGCTATGCAAATGGCATAAATTGCAATATTTTCTATACAAAACTAATTGCTACACTAACATGCTATACATCAACAAATCGGTAGTCTGGTACTTTATTAGTATATCATAAAGGTTACTCAAAATATTTACATTGTAAAAAGTTATTAAATGAAATGTCCCAAATTTTCGTAATATTTGCGTACATTAATTCTTTGATTTTTATATAACTACGAAATACGTTTAATTATACAAAATATTCCTACACTTCCTTAATCTATAACCCATATGCTAATTCATTATTTTTAGTATGAACTATTACGCAGTTAATTAAAAACTTCTAGAGAGTTCTACGATAAGACGCGCTGTGATTGGTCGATTTTTCTTAATATAATAAAAGTTGTTTATATCACTTATTATCAAAACGACATTCTATACAAATATACTAAGAGTTATAAACATGCTAAACAACTATATTAATACACGTTTTCACCCAGTTTTGTCGGTAATTTCATTATTAATACAAAAACAATATTCTTTATTACTTCGTTTCTTAGCGTTGTTAGACCGTCGCGAACAATTAAGATTTGTCGTAAGTTGGATTCACAGCTTGATTTTTAAGGTATACGATACATTTATTAGCGGTTTGGCCGCTTACGATATTAGGGCAACAGAAGTACGGAGTAATACTTGTATATTGTCACTAATTTGTATATATTACAAGATGGTGTGGGTGAGATGTTAAAAGTGAGGAATGGTCTTCGTAAAAATAAATTCCAATGCAATAATTTTCATGCACTTACGGTACCAGGATTGCAGAAGTACGTAGTGATTATACCTATTGATAATTGAAGGGTTATCAATATTAGATCCACGGACTGCAAGGATCTATTTCTCTTCGCGAAAGGTTTTATTGTGCTGCAGACTACACAATCCAAATACAACACAGTTTCCTTGGAAACGCGGAACCGCGCACGAAATTCTCTGTCGTCATATTTATCGAAAGCGTTAAACTTGATATCATTTCTTCGACTTCCTGTAAGCGTTTCGTTGTCCGAAAATACTCATAACAGATTTAAAATTCCTCGCTACCACACTTAATAATAACGAGTAAAGTACTCGTTTTATGTTTTGGTTATTGTTACGGAAAAATTTAATGTTTCTATACAGAAATCTATATATGGTGCTAATGTGAGTTTGCTATCATATATGACACCTAGATCCGTGGTCTTTTTTAGTTCCTGTAATTTATTATTGCCTATGTGCTAATAATTATAGTAATCTAAATTAATTTTACAAATTTTACATAGAAACATTTCTATTCCATTGAGATCCATTTAATTCAAATTACACCATTGAAAGAGATTGTCATCATCATCATCTATGGTTTCAATTATTCTGCAAAATTTTATGTCGTCAGCATACATGTAAGAATCAGATATTTTTAGGCACAAAGGCAGATCATTAATATAAATATTCAAAAGAAGTGGGCCAAAATGCAATCCTTGTAAGCAGGATGTGATTTTGCGCAAACTCGTCTTAAAGCCTTTGACGACTACATAATAAAGTACGATCGGTTAGATAAGATCAAATCCATTTCATTAAAATAAAACAGATTTCATACGCGAACAGTTTTCTCAGGAGTACACTATGTGAAAAGCGATCAGAAGCCTTACTGAAATCCGTGTATATGACGTCAACTTGTTTATTGGCCTCAAGCGCTTCATAAAGTTCGGTTTAAAGATCTTTATTTTTAATAAGACAGTAGTCACTTACATGAGAACAATAACTATTTGAACTTAGTAATAACAATTTTGAGTGCGGGTATAAATAACTTTGTTGGACGTCGCTTTTAAGAAGCGAATATCTTTGTTGTTTATTCAAACTATAAGGTGGTGGTCCAAGTTTAATAATGTTTTTTATTTTTATTTAATAATGATTAATGTTAGGTATTTAGCTGTTGTTAATATAGGTAGGCAAGTAACTTCTGTTTGAAAACATTCAAAGATTTCGCCTCCTTTACAAATTTAGGTAGTTTGTTGTATAACTGTGCTCCTTTATACGTTATATTATTTTTACCATAGTTTGTTCTTATAGGCGGCAATACAAGGTGACTAGCTCGGCGTGTTATGTAATTGTTTGTTTGCTTCTTTGTTAAAAACGTGAGTTGTGTGTGGATTAATTTATGTTTTATTTTATATATTAGTATGCATGTGCTATATGTATAAAGTTGAGTAACGTTAAACAGTTTAGTTTCCTTATATATTGTATTAGTTAGTGTTAAAAAATCATAGTTATACAAAATTTTTATGATACGGTTTTGTAGCACTTGGAGAGGTTTAAGATTAGTTTTGGCTGCATTACCCCATACCTCTACAAGGTAAAGTAAGTGAGGTTTTACTAGAGAGTTATATATTAGGATTCGGGCTTTTTTCGGAATACATCGAACTATTTTGTGAAGGCGGCCAACGAGAGACGAAAGTTTGTTTTTAATATGCGTGAGATGTGCATTCCAAGTCAAATTACTGTCGAGAATCAGTCCAAGGTATTTTTCTTGATTTTTTATTTGTAACGTTTCTCCGTTTATAGTCAAAGTAAGGTGGTTTTGGTTAGGGAGTTTCTTGTTCTTGGCGCTGAAAATTATATATGAGGTCTTGGCTACATTAATAGTTGGGAGATTATACTGAAACCATTGATGGAGTAAGTTTAAGTCTTCTTGAGCTAGTGTTATTATACTAGATATATTGTTTCCAAAGTAGAATAAACACGTATCATCTGCGTAAAGGTATATTTCACCTTGTAAACCTGCTTGGTTTATGTTGTTGATGTACACTAGGAATAGCAATGGACCGAGGATAGAACCCTGAGGCACGCCACACGTTAAGAGTTTGGGTTTACTTTGAATGGATCCAATTTTCACTACTTGGTAACGGTTGCTCAAATATGATGCCATCATTTTGTATACTTTTCCAGTGACGCCAATATTTTGTAGTTTTTTTAAGAGCAAATTATGGCTAACTGTGTCGAAAGCCTTTTTTTAGGTCCACAAA